CGCCCCCCCCCCCCCCCCAGTTGGAAGTTGGGGCATTTTTGGTCAGGAGTGCGGTGGGATCTAAACTCACTACTGTCCAGTCCTACGTACAGTGTGCCTCTTACTGGATAGAAGCTTACACAGATAAACAATCTATTTCATTGGCACATTTTTCTCACCAAGGCATGGTGGTAAACTGTAAATTAAACTTTACCGCTCCTCCAGATATGGAAATGTTAGAGGTGTCCAGGAGTGAGCACCATCTTTTTGTTATAAAAAGACTTGTAGCAGTATGCGATGTATTTGTAGCTTGGTTATAGAATCTGCAGATTTCAATCTTTAGTTTGCTTGCCATTTCAACATTCAAACCATTTGCCATTTATCAAAACCCGTGGATATAAAGCCTTTTTCTATTATTTAGTTCAAAATCATGTGATATATGCCATTTTCTTCCTGGAAACTTACCCTGTCAATACCGATGCCTTTCTTCTGGGCATAGGCCCCCCAAAGCATGAAAACCAAGCCATCAAGGTTCTTGTTCAGCCAAGAAACCACCGAGTCCGTAAACTGCTCCCAGCCTCTGTCTTTATGTGAATTGGCATTATGTGCCCTTACAGTCAGCACCGCATTTAAAAGGAGAACTCCTAAGACAGAAAATGTCATTTTCAGTTATAATTTTACAAACTTTGTAGTCAACACCTTTAGTACACTTACACAAGAGAATGTCTGCCAGTGATAGAATACATGAGATGCCCAACAGGCAGTCACCATATCTAACATTAGGACTTAATGTTGTTGCAAGAATTGGTTACTATTCAAGTGCTGGTGCACCAAAAAGTAAAAAGTTATCATGCATTGCCGCTTCCATTTGGGGGCTACAGACTGTTAGGAGTTTCTTTATCTAAAAGTTTCATGTTTATATCTTACAAAACATGTGTACAGTGGGTATAGAAAAGAAAATCACCCCTTTAAAATAATCACGTTTTGTTGCTTTGCAGCCTGAAATGAAGACAGACAGTTGTTTTATCCAGCTGTATTTACTCAGTGCAACTTATAATATCCAAGTGAAAGATAGAACACCAACATGTCAGGGGGAGGAAAAAAAATAAAATCAAAAACAGAATTTGTTGAACCACCTTTTGCTTTAATTACAGCCTTTAGTCTGTTGGGATATGTCTCTAACTTTGCACATCTAGACTTTGCAATATTTGCCGACTCTTTGCAGAACTGCTCAAGTTCAGTTTAATTTGATGGTGACTGTTTGTGGACTGCAGTCTTCAAGTCATGCCACAGATTTTCATTGGGGTTTAGGTCTGGGCTCTGACTAGGCCATGCAAGGACATTCACCCTTTTCTCCTTCAACCACTGTGGTCATTTTTGCTGTGTGCTTTTGGTCAATCTTGAAAGGTAAACCTTCATCCCATTGACAACCTTCTGGCAGAGGGCAGCAGATTTTCCTCAAGAAATGACGGTATTTTGCCCCATCCAGTTTTCTTCTTTCCTGACAAATGCTCCTGTCTCCCTGATACAGAGAAACACCCCCATAACAAGATATTACCACATCCATGCTTTACTGTAGGAATAGTGTTATTTGGATGGTGAGTCGTATTAGATTTCCACCAGACATATCGTTTGGTGCTGAGGCCAAACAATTCAATTTAGTCTCATTACACCTTTTCTCATGTGGCCTCAGAATCTTCATGGTGCGTTTTGTCAAAGTTCAGTCATGATGACTGCATGTAGCCTTTCTTGAGGAGTGGCTTTTTTCTTGCAACCCTCCCATACAAGCCCCATTTGTGGAGAATTTGTGATATTGTTGTCACATGCACACAATGATGACTTTGTCATACTTTCCTGCAACTGCTTCAGAGTTGCTGTAGGCCTCTTGTTAGCCTCTCTGACCAGTTTCCTCCTGGCTCTTTCATCCAGTTTGGAGCGACGTCCTGATCCAGGGAGGTGTCTGTATTGTACCAAATACCTTCCAACTTCACAGTGTTTCTGGACATTGATAAAGCCTTTGACATTTTTTGCATCCATCTCCTGCCTTGAGCCTGTCCACAACTTTAACCTGCAGATCTTTGACAATGCCTTGCCACCCATAGTTGATGGTTTGCTTCAGTTGCACTACCAGGGACTGAAATGCTCCAGGAAAGCTCTTTTCATGCTGAGCTAATCAAAATGACCACAGCTGAAAGTCAAATAGCTTTGTGTGCCATTGAGAAGGCGTTTAGCTACACCTGATTGAGTGCACAAGTCATTTTTTAGGAGGGTGTGAGCCTTTTTCGAACTCAGTGATTCCGTTTTTGAATTTTTTTTTTTCCCCCCCGACATGTTGTGGTGGTGTTATATCTTTCATTCGCTTAAGTAAATAACATGGTAATACATATGTGCAAGTGTGAAACAAGATATTGCTACGAAACCATTAACAGCAATCTTACATAATGGATGTTAAACGATCAATATACAAAATGTAACAGTTTTTACCTTGTTTGGCCCACCCAGATAGATCACCATGTCTGGGGTGCTCAAAACCCTCAATATCTACTTGAAGTTCCTTGTACATGTTTTCCAAGCTAAAAGCAGAGCATATGTAGTTCTTGTTATGTAGATTGCATGCAGAAATAAACTGATACAAACAGGTTTTCATACAATTAAGACTTTACAAGATGCAACAGGAGGAGGGAGCGCTGCCTGCTGTCAGCATGACTGAGCAGAGAGGAGAGATGCTGTCATCCTGTCAGTTTCAGGATAACAGCATCTCTGTGCGTGACCGAGCGAAGGATCGGTAAATAGCTGTGATTTTTACCGATCCTGTGGGCAGGACAAAAACTGGAGTGATCAAGTGGTCACTCCAATGTTTGTAAACAACTGGGAACACATAGTACTATGTGTGCCCAGTTATGAATGAACAGAAAAATCATCATCACACATTACACATCATCGCTGTTTTTCCTCTACATCCTGGTGACAAAAAGAAGGTAAGGCGAGCAGATAGCAATAAAAACCTGACAGGATCTAACTCTTCTTCAGACTACCGTAGAAGATTGCTCAACTACATGGATTTAAATCAAGAATGCAGGACAGGATTTACAATTTTCCAATATGCTAGATATAACACTACTGTAAATTTGGGTACCTGGGTGGGGGTGGTACAGGCTTCTGAACACTAAAGCACAATCCATGAGCCTGGTTGGGTCCATGGTAAGGATCCTGTCCCAAAATGACAACCTTCACCTAGATAATAAGAATACAAAACAAAATAAAGCACACATGTACATACATATTATACTCACACATATATAGTGTTGGGATGGAACGGAGATGGAGGAACATAGGGAATTCTAGTTAAATGCACATAATGTTAACTGGTTCATGTGCACCACATTTAAAAGACCCTAAAGTACACAGCCCCTAGCCACAAAAAAAAAACCCTAATGTTTGTTATTTTACAAGCAATTGGAAGTTTACTTTTTTTTTTTGTTGGCAATAGACAAGTAATGCATGAGAGAAAGTCAGTTGTAACTAAAATCATATAAATCAGGTATTCCAAATCCATTATATTTTTTTCAAAGTGGTTTTAAGTTGATTGTATTCAAATATATTCACTTATTGCACAATATTGGCCTTTTTGTCAAGTAGAATCCATGTATTCATCTCTCTACCCTCACAATATTTCATTTTGACATTAATTGACAACCCCAAAATATAACAGTATCCTAATTCTCAGATGATTCAGCTACTTAGGAAAAATGTATAAAATCTGCTCATGCAGTGGTGTATTAATCAATGTAATTTAAAAACACAAAACACCAGATACACCTCCTGTAAATGTTTGGTGAATATCACATTCACTGCTTTATAAATATACAAACATGTTTTATAACTAAACAGTGGTCTAGATCCTTGGTTCTCAACTGGTGGGTTGTGAACCAAAAGTGGGTCACGACCCCGTGTTCAGTGGGTCACTGCATGTCTTCCACTTTTCTAGGTAAGAGGCTCCTGTGCCTCCCCCTAGTGCAGCACTGTCAGTTCTCACACCAAGTAGCCATTCAAAATATGCTGCCGGGCACAGAGTGTAAGATTGAGGTGGGGTGGGCTGGGGCTATGGCCGTGATGGAGCTTCATCCATATGTGCATTGCTTACAGCTCCCTCACGTGTCCTGTAGAGGTGCCTGGACCGGAGTGATGTCACAGTCTGGCTCCTGGCACCTCTACAGGGCACGCAAGGGAGCTGTACAAAATGCACATATGGACGGAGCTCCGTCACAGCACAGGAGCCCGCACTGGACCCCAGGCTGAGAATCCGCTCCAGTTCTCATAAGGTGGGGAGACTACCTTATGAGAACTGTAACATTTTTGGGAGTGTGTATGTGTGAGAATGTCTGAGTGCGTGAGATTGTGTCTGTGATTGTGTGAGTCTCGTGTTTTTGGAGGGCCCATTCATACTAGTACAGTGCGTTAATCGCATAGTAACATGTGATTAACGCACTGTACCACGCAATCACACCTACCATGCATTCTGATGTGGGTGGTGTGTTGCATTTGCCATTCATTTGAATGGTACCTCAAATGCACCTCCCACCCACAGCTTGTACGCCCGCACCAGAATGGGTGGTACCCCAATTCCGTGCATTCCACTGCAGTGCGACTTGAGTTGTGATTTAATGACCAAGGACAAATGTGGGTCCTGAGGTTACACAGATTGAGAACCACTGGTCTAGATAAACCAATATCTAAATAATGCATACAACATAAATACATTCCTACAAGAAAATAAGGCTGCAGCTAATGATTATTTTCATAAATCGATTAGTTGAAAAAATTATCGGGCAACTAATCGATGGTTGCATAAATATATATCTATCCATCTCAATAGTTGCCAACTATTCTCATAATCGATTAGTTGTTGCAGCCCTACAAGAAAATATAACCAAAACAAAACCTAATTTGTCCCAAAACAAAATATAACACTTTCTTTGATCCATTAGGGAAATGCATGTGTGAAAGCTGAACTGAAATGTATTAACACTTGCAGTGGGGCTACCACTGCACTGCAAAGGTTACGTGCTGGTTTTTGACTAGGGTCAAAAATAAAGATATACTCACTGAAACCTCTGAGCCAGCAGGCAGTCATAGCGCTTTCTTCCTCCTATGCTGCAGCGATGGTATGTCCCTTGGCATCCTCACGTCCTATGCACTGTATTGGAAGTGATGGCTCAAGTAACTTGAGACCGCTGCAGCAGAGGAGGCACCAGGGTCCAATTTAAGAGCCGGCTGGCTTTGAGGATCAGGCAAGTAAAACTTTTTTGTTTTTTACCCTTGACTAAAACAAGCAGTTAACCCTTGCAGTGCAGGTGTAGCCCACTGCAAGGGTTAATAAAACTTTTAATCGGAGTTCTGCTTTAAAGTCTGCAACCTTAAAAAAAAAAAGAAAACCAATGCGGAATAAAATGGTGCCCACTAAGTGATAGCATTTTGCAGACGACAGGTTCTCTTTAATGAAAAGATAAGGGGTCTAACTGACCCCTAATGTCACCTATGACAAAGTAATTGAAAAAGCAGAATGGTTACACACAATGAAGTTGGTTTATTAAGGTAGAGAATGTAGTATATGTTCACTTTGCAAAGTACATAGGGCAAGACTGTGTTCGCTTAGAATACCCCAAACCAAGCAAATTTTTTTTAAAAAGTAAACATAGCTTCGCCTTATTCACCAAGTGCAACATTCGCACTGCCAAATGAGCTCAGGCTATCTACATGTGTTCTTTGTTACGCACTCCGTTTTATTACTAGTCACTCGGGGACTTAAAGACTACTTCTCGAATTCAGACTCCTGCTGCTTATCACTCTGGTATATTTTTCATTGCAAGATACATCTAATAGGTTGGACTTGATGGACTAATGTCTTTATTCAACCTCAAATACTATGTAACTATGTAACAATGTAACAATGCGGGGAATTTAGCAAGACTGGAGTAGTTGTCCATAGTAACCAGTAATCAGCTTCTCTCTTTAATTTTCATCATTTACATGAACAAATTGAAGATAGAAGCGGATTGGTTACTATGGACAACTGCTCCAGATTCTGTCTGCTAAAGTTTTCATAAATTTCCCTCATTATTACAGACTCGTTAAGACCATTTCTATCGATCACTTTTAGTTCTGCGTTCAAATACTGACATAACTGCAATAGGGCTGCAAACAACTATACGATAATGAGAATATTTGTCAACTATTCTCATTATGGATTAGTTGGTTGGATCCCCTAGCTCTCTCGGGGGGGCCAGCAAGCAGTGAGTGGGTGCAATAGCCAGCCTGCTATTGGCTATTGCAATTTGAAAGGGCCAATGGTAGGCTGGCTATTGCACAAGCCCACTTACCTGCTGTATTTACATTCAGATGCAGTCTGTGGAATCTTGCCACTGGCAGCTGTCATTCCCTGGCCTCAGCTATTCAAGCGCCATGTGCTTACAATAATAAAAATAAAAAAATTATAAAAAAAGGTGGGGAAAAATAATTTTCGGTTTCGGCCTGACAAATTCTGCTGTGGGAGGTGCGTTGCAGGGCCATTCATTTTAATGGCACTCCAAACATGCCTCCCACAGTGAGATCGCCCACACTGGAATGCATGGTACTGCAATGCTGTGCGTTCCAGTGCGATTGCAAAAAATTGTTCATACAGTTTTATTCTGAAGTAAACTTTGTAACACTGCATTTGTGTATTTTATTTTGAATTAAGGATGGCATTTCATTTTTTTTTTTATCTGATTAATTGAAAAAAATAATCTGCCAACTACTTGATTATGAAAACAATCATTAGTCGCAGCCCTAAACTGCAAATCAGCAAACATACAAAAGCTGGCTTATAACATATACTTACATCTCTAATGTCACACATTTGAGTCCAGGTAAATACCTGGTGAGGAGGGGGATACACTGTATATCGTTTGCGTTCTTCAGAGACAAAATTTGTCAGCTAAATGAGAAGAAATTGTATCATATTTAATATACCGTATGTACTGCTCCTAAGAAATCATTTGTAAATAGAATTCTTTTATTATTGCCAAGGCACAGACAGGGAAATAATCAGACCAATACATTATTGATAACTTATTCAGTGATCTTTAAGGTGTTGCCAACAAGTGCTAGGTTACTCTTTCTTTTTCTGATGTATCAGTACACATTAGAATAGATAAGCCAAAAGAAGAGGACATGAGAGTATTGAATAAAACATTTCGGCCCATTAAAAGAAGAGGACATGAGAGTATTGAATAAAACATTTCGGCCCATTAAAAAAGGAGAACTGTGGGGTTAAGGTTTTTCCCCATAGTTCTCCTTAGGGTAACGGGAGGACACAAACTAGCGTCCTCCCGTCACCCTAGGCTCAGTATACCGCAAGCTGTAGCTCGCGGTATACTGAGACGCTGAAGAGGATCCCGACAATTGTGCTGGGATCCGCCCAGCTGCGTCACTGACAGCTGGCTCTGCCCCCTCCCCCATCCGTTCCGCCAGTCAGCGCTGGTGGATCGGGGAGGGGGGAATCCATCCCCTCCCCTGTCACGGCAGAGAGCCGTGACAGGATCGAGAGGTGAGCGAACGCCGCTATGTGTTCGCTCACCTCCCGATCTACTGAGCCGACCTGTGACAGTCTCATTCTCACAGGGAGCTAGAACTATGAGGTGAGTGAAAAGCACTCACCTCATCGTTCTCCTTTAATAGCTAAATATACCAGTGATCAGAAGTTCTCTAATAGCGACATCTGAAGATCATACACAGAATTTATTATACAATTGCATCATATGTTTATCTTCGGTCACTGCCAGCTTTACCTGTGAACACTTCCCAATTTACAAAAATGCCATGGCTTTTATTAACCAACAGCAGCAATCTGTCATGGTTCTCACTCAAACTATTGGTTGCTACCACGATGTGGCTCACTAAGTACTTGTACTTCTTTAAATATGAACACAAGGCTTTATTCACACTTGCAATTTCCTTTTGTGTCCTCTATATGCAGAGGGAAATCTGTGAGGCTAGATGCTGCGTTTATGCTTCTAGATGCTTTAAATGATGTGCGTTTACATGCATCTGGTACCATCTCCTAGCATTAAATTGTGTTACATGCATGTTGGTGTTCTCATTTTGGTGAATTTAGGTCAGATCAATCCCTAGATGCACCTGACTTCTATTTTGTGAACACGCAGATGAAAGCATCTAGATGCAAGGTGTGACTTTACCCATTGACATTCATTAGATGCAGATTAAAAAGAATTTACAAATGCTTTTTAAATTCATATAAAAGCAGCTAATCGCACACAGTGGGAATGAAGCCCATCAGCCCAATAGACTCTTGGGCTTCACTCACACTATGTGCGATATAAAGTGACAGAGAGCGTTATTTTGTGCATTTATGTTTTGCAGTAAGGCAGCCGAACTGAAATATGAATGGCAGAGAAGATGGAGCAGATGGCTCCTATTCAACACAGGGGCTTGCAGGATCTGCTCCATTTTCTCAGTTTAGAAGTGTGGTGCACTCTCTCCAGTAGCCCTCTTTAATTCCCACCATAGCTTCACAAGCATGTTTAGATGCAGTTTCACATTATTATTTTTTTTTAAACTAAAAAAACGTTACTTTTGCTTTAGCCCAGCCTTTACTAGGACCTTTACCTTCATAAAGTATGGTTTGGTGAACTCCGAAAGCAGTTCTTGCTTCCAGCTCTCCCCGAATCCTTCCGGCACATAGCGGGCTGCAAGTCTCTGTAGCGCAGCTGCTTTATTCTTCTGAATGCGGTCCACCTGTTCAGGGCTCAGTGGAGGAGAGGTTACTTTGGGGCTGTTTTCCTCATCTTCTTTTCTTGTCCTTTTGACAGGAGTTGTCTGCGGGCAATAACAATCAGACAATGGTTGTCCAATGTAGAACTTGAACTTATGCAGATATCTTATACCCCTTGATCTACATAAGGACATCATGACATATCAAATGAAGAATTTGGCAGGCCCTGTACAACCCAGTACCCTGTCTAGCTATATGTTAGAATTAGTACACAACTCTGATCAGTATAGTAAATGCTCAGCTTCCACGCCTCCTGCGTCACGTGGTCTCGCAGTTCCGGTGTCAGAGCCACATGCTGGATTTTCGCGCTTAAACGAGATCAGCACAGGTATCACCCCCCTCCCAGACTCCTACATTCTGATTGGCTGATCAGCCACTACTACACCAGGAACGAGGCGTGAGGCGCAAGGGGATGCCGTTAGCTTGGTATATCACTCTAGTAGTAAGACTACTTTTGCACTCTCTACAGCTAACCACACACTCTATGACGCCTGTATACAAAGGACATGCTAATACCGAGCCGTGCTCACACTGCGGACTCTTCCCCCTATGTGTGTATTATGAATACTACGCTGAGAAACGCATTGACTGTATCCTGACTAGCTATCGCCGCTCATAAGCAGTACTATACCTCGCCGTCCTGTGGTTTTATGTCCTCCAGCCGAGCCTCCGAGGAAGACCGCTTCTTGGAGACGGGAGTGAAGAAGGAATTGATGGTTTTCTGCCCGAGCATTCTCTTTCCTGCTGGAATACAGCTTGCCCGTCACCTGCTCGGGGAATGGGAACATTTGGCGCCAAAATTCGCTGCCTCTGTCCTGCCTTGTAAGAGGCGGATCCGGTGGACGGGTTGCCATGGTTACATTATAATCTAACCTGCTGTAATCACTTCCTAACGGACTCGGAGCCTAACCACATACTAGATATAGCAAGGCCCGAGTGCTGCAACTCACTAAAGGACCCTATATTATATAAAAGCTGTCACAGACCGCAGACTTAAAACTGAGATGATTACAGAATCCAGAAAGGAGTGGTTGGAGCTGGGGGACATGCTTCAAGGCTAATTGAACCTTATGCAAAAAATCTATTAAATGCACCCACAATGATAAAATGAATGTTAACGCTAAACGCGGTGGGGCCCCCATCACTGCAAGGGTTAAATTCTTGTTGGGTGTGTGCATTTAGCGGGTCCTTTCTGCCCGTGCGTGCCCGCTAGGGGGCGCGCGCGAGCAGAAAAAAATTGCCGTCTGGAGACGGCAACCCGCAGATGCTGCAGTGCCGTCCGTTCGTTTTTTTACTACGGGCGGACGGCAAGAGGTTAATGCATGGGCAAGCAAACTCTGCCCCTCCAGCTGTGGTGCAACTACAAACCCCATTAGGCATTGCATGACACAGGCATGACCTCCAGAGGTATATGCAGGAAGGGATTTGTAGTTGGGCTGGAGTTTGCCCACCCCCGATCTGGAGGGTAGAGCAATAAGCTGTAAGGCCCCATTCACACCAGGACGGCAACGTTTCTGCGTGTTTTTTGTTCATATGTAAGAGCATTTTAAGGCTTGTTTTCAGTTGCAAAAACGCGCTGATTGACGCATTCACATTGAAGTCTATGAAGCAAAACGAGCTGACAAGAGCCACAAAAGAAGCTCATTGACTACTAAACAATGGCTGTATTTGTACATGTGATTCAGTCATTTGCTCAAACAGCCAGGAATACATTGGATTATGATCTGCATGCGTTTCGCCATGGGAAAAAAAACGCAGGAGGAAACGCCCTGGTATGAATGGGGCCTAACACTGTACCTTATTCCATGCTGCAACAGGATTCCATGATGGAGTGCGTCCCCTGAAACCTCTTTAAAGCGCTCTGGACAGCATGCAGAGCCAATACCCCTGAATTGTATGTGAGGATGGAAAGGGTCCATCCACGACACGGAGTGTTAAGCTGGCCATACATCTATAGATTTTCTATCAGCCTATGGTCGGATGGAAAAAGTGCAACAGATTCCTCCATCTAGGCTAAACTGTGTGGATGGAAGAATCTCCCACTGGGCCAAACTTCAGTATCTTTCTAGTCGGCCCCACTGGCTCTTAAAACACCTGAACAATGGCTGCATCCAATCAGATTGTTCAGGTATTATGAGAGCCAGCAGGGCCGACTAGCAAGATACTGAAGCTTGGCCCAGCGGGAGATTCCTCCAGCCACACAGTTTAGCGCAGATGGAGGAATCTGTGCCACTTTTTCCATCTTACCATCGATAATCTGCAGATAATCTATAAGGTGTATGGCCAGCTTTAGCGAGAATAGGTGTGTCAGAAGCCTGTCGGAGCAAGGAATAAAGTAATATTACAGCTTATTCTTCTACCCTCTAGACCAGTGGTGGTGATCCTTGGCGCTCCAGCTGTTTTGGAACTACAAGTCCCATGAGGCATTGCAGGGCTCTGAAAGTCACAGACATAACTCCCAGAGGCAGATGCATGTTGGGATTTGTAGTTTTGGAACAGCTGGAGTGCCAAGGTTCGCCACCACTGCTCTAGACTAAACAAGTATTTAACCCTTGAGGTGCCAGGGAGCCCAGCTGCTGTACATGGCAGGGTGGCTTTCACATGTTTGCAAAGGTTACACAACTAACCTCAGTTTATAACGCAAATGATCTCATTTGTATTCATAAGCAGTGATTTGACTGTTTTTTGTTTTGTTTTTTAGGCCTAACTGAATGCAAAACGCCATTATTCTTTTAACTGGAAGCTTTGTGGCTCTTTATATGGATACATTTGTAATAAAAAAGACTCCCTCTCACAGAAAAAGGGGTCATATGGAAGAATGTGCAGGGTCCTCAGATCTGAGTTCTTCTTCTGAGAGAGAGGTAAAGAAGAAGAATACATCTCCTGATTCTTTACTGGAACAATGCTATATTTGGAAAAGAATAAGAGCAGTGAACCTGAACTGTGATTATACTATTCTCTTTAATAAGATAGAAGCAAATGAGATCTATCTGCAGCTGGAACAAGAAATAGTATATTTTTCAGGTAGGTGTTCACAGTGAATATTTTTATAGACACATCTAAAGCCAGCCTTGGGAATGTGCAAAATTTGTAATTTGTACAGTTTTAAAATGTATTTAGTAGAGCTGCAGCAATTCATCGATTTAGTCGATTAAAATCGACGATGGAAAACGTTATCAACGTTTTCCATCGTTGATTAATCGGCTAACGATTGGTTAGCCTGTTCGGGTCTCCACACACGACCCGAGCCGCACATGTCACACTGGACACGATGCCGAAGCCACGCCCACCACTGAAGCCGCTGCTCCTCACCTCGCTGTGAGCTCTCTCACTGGCCGCCGACAATCGAGGGCCCACGATCTGAAAGTAAGTCAGGGTCCACATCTTGTTGACTAGAAATGTAGCTGCCTAACTGTAGTGATCTGAACATAATTCCACTTCCCTCCCTTTTCAATAAAAAGGGGGTGAAATTAGTCTGGTTTCCTTGAGATATTCTGACATATTGAAAAGTGCTCACTATTAAAATATGCTGATCCTTGCCTGCCCTCAATACAAACTAGTGCAACTTGAATGATGTTCCATTTTGCTCACGTGGTTAGAACTTTCCTCCCTGTTCACATAGAAAAGGAATGGACTAGCACCTGTTCACACAGAATTTCCAGTGAGCGTGATAAGAAGTGCTTCTCATAGTTGTAAGAACATTTTATTGCAACCTATGAAATTTCGACATGACCCAATCGCACTCTGATTATCGCAGGAATATTCCAATCAACCAGTGTATGACCATACAATTTTCATAATTGTCCCTTGTTTCTCCTACTACAAAACAAATAAAATAGGCAGCCAACCATTTTTAGAACCAGCAACAGAGCAAACAAATGCTACCAGGCCGAAGAGAAGAGAGAACTGGGAACTGGATGCAGCTCAAAGAGCTGCCTGAAGGACCTTCACATCAGACGAGGCTGAAATGTCCACCTTGGAGAATGTGTGAAGAGAAGATCAGGAGGCAGTCTCAGGGATCTCAAGGCTCCCTGATTTTCAGTGAGTCTCCCGCTATTATAGCAGCTCCCTGACGTCCGCGAGAGAGGCATTTTATCTCAGAAAGGTTTACTCTGAGTAAACCTTTCCGGTAAGATATCAGTGGGCAAGGTTTCAGAGTGAGGCTTGCCTCCTGGAGGAAGGTCATGTGAGAATAGCCTCCGAACGATGCTTGGCTCTCAGAAGGAAGAAGCTACTTGCTGCACAGAGAGGGCGGACATAGACTACTATTGAGAGCAGGTACAGGCACTGAGATCTACTGCTGCAGGGTTGAGAGAGTGCTGTTAACCCTTTGTGGATAATATAGAATCAATTATATCTCCTGGTTGTCTAGTTATAGAGAACATTTATTTCATTTGCTGCCCATAGCAACTAGTCAACTGTGTATCAGGGAATTTACTCCTCAGCGTTTTTTTAAAAAGGTCTTGGGCTGTCTAATAAATTGTGACCTTTACACTGACAGATACTTGAATATCAATTCACAAATCTGATGTGTGTATATACAGTGGGGCAAAAAAGTATTTAGTCAGCCACCAATTGTGCAAGTTCTCCCACTTAAAAAGATGAGAGGCCTGTAATTGGCATCATAGGTAGACCTCAACTATGAGAGACAACATGAGAAAACAAATCCAGACAAATCACTGGCTGATTTGGAACGAATTTATTTGCAAATTATGGTGGAAAATAAGTATTTGGTCACCTACAAACAAGCAAGAGTTCTGGCTCTCACAGACCTGTACCTTCTTCTTTAAGAGGCTCCTCTGTCCTGCACTCATTACCTGTATCAATGGCACCTGTTTGAACTTGTTATCAGTATAAAAGACACCTGTCCACAACCTCAAACAGTCACACTCCAAACTCCACTATGGTGAAGACCAAAGAGCTGTCAAAGGACACCAGAAACAAAATTGTAGACCTGCACCAGGCTGGGAAGACTGAACCTGCAATAGGCAAGCAGCTTGGTGTGAACAAATCAACTGTTGGAGCAATAATTAGAAAATGGAAGACATACAAGACCACTGATAATCTCCCTCGATCTGGGGCTCCACGCAAGATCTCACCCCGTGGGGTCAGAATGATCACAAGAACGGTGAGCAAAAATCCCAGGACCACACGGGGGGACCTAGTGAATGACCTCCAGAGAGCTGGGACCAACGTAACAAAGGCTACCATCAGTAACACACTACGCCGCCAGGGACTCAGATCTTGCAGTGCCAGACGTGTCCCCCTGCTTAAGCCAGCAGGCTTTTTTTTCCCCATCATTTTATCTGTTAGTGTTTTACTCAGGAACATTCTCAAATTATATTTATCAATATTATTGGTATATGGATTTTATTTTACTGTGTATATGTGTTTGTGTGTATATATACAGGTGAAACTCGAATAATTAGAATATGGTGCAAAAGTAATTGCAGTAAGTGCTGCAAAAGGGGCCCAAACCAAGTACTGAGTACGTATGCATGCTTGTACTTTTCAGAGGTCCGATATTGTTCTATGTACAATCCTTGTATTATTGATTGCATGTAATATTCTACTTTTTTGAGGTTGTGGATTTGGGGTTCTTGGGGTTTTCATGAGCTGTAAGCCATAATCATCACAATGATGACAAATCACGACTTGAATTATCTTGCTTTTCATGTAATGAGTCTATCTCATATATTAGTTTCACCTTTTAAGTTGCATTAGTGAAATAAATGAACTTTGCACGATATTCTAATTATTCGAGTTTCACCTGTGTGTGTATGTGTGTGTGTATATATATATTTATTATTATTATTTTTTATATTCTGACAGCAGCCGCTGTTGAAAAAAAATCAGAAAGGGCACTTCTCTGAAATGAGACGGGCACCTCCCTGAAATAAGGTTTTGCAGGTTGGGATGTGTGCAGTCTTGCAAATTTGGGAAACAGTTACTTGAAACCGAAATGCCTAATAAGCACTTCCAGATCTAGTAGCACCTTGACAGGGAAGGGAGGAACCAAAATCTTGAGACCCTAAGCTTGAATGATGGTCTGTGAAAACCACCCAGAGATGGTGGAACAGGAAGCTGGAGCACCATAAGGGCTACAAGGAAAACCAATTTATGATTGAGAGTAGAGAGAGGATTGACTCTAATGGGTTCAAATGGCAGTTTCTGAAGCCCAGAGAGAACCAGATTCAGGTCCAAC